GCCCCCGGGGCTGCGCTTCCCGGGCCGGCGCCGCGGGCCCCCGGGTCCCCGCCATGCGCCCCGGCTAGCGCGCCGCCGGCATGCTGCGCCCGCTGCTGCTCGCCGCGCTCTGCCTGGCCGCGCGCGCCTGCCAGCTGCCCTCCGAGTGGCGGCCCCTGAGCGAGGGCTGCCGCGCCGAGCTGGCCGAGACCATCGTGTACGCCAAGGTGCTGGCGCTGCACCCCGAGGCGCCCGGCCTCTACAACCACCTGCCGTGGCAGCCCCACGCCGGCCAGGGCGCGCTCTTCTACGCGGCCGAGGTGGAGATGCTGTGCGACCAGGCGTGGGGCAGCATGCTGGAGGTGCCCGCCGGCTCCAGGCTCAACCTCACCGGCCTGGGCTACTTCTCGTGCCACTCCCACACCGTGGTGCCCGACTACTCCTATTTCTTCTTCCTCAGGTGAGCCCGGCGCCGCCGCCGCCGCCGCCTCCCCGTCCGCCTCTTGGCGCGACCGCCGAGGTCGCCGTTGCCTGGAGCCAGCTGGGAAGCCCGCGCGGCTTCGGGAGTGACGGTGTGAAGACACACTGCTCCCCTTACCCGTCTTTACCCCCTCCCTGCCCGGTCCCACGTCTCTGCAAACACCCCGGCTACCCCTGGCCGAGGCTGTTTGAAAGGATGACCCCTGCGCTCTGCGCGCACAACAGGGTTGCAGGTAAAAAAGCCCAAAGCGCTTTCCAACGACCCGTTTGACTCATCTTTTTAAAAAGTGGCTGGGAGCAGTTTGGGACGGTGAGGAAAACGGTCTTGGAAATTGGTCTATCCTTGGCACTCTGGCTCTGTCCTTGCTAACTGTCCTGTGATTTTGAGCAAGTTCCTTCTCCCCTTCTCTAGAACCTGCGTAAAGTGAGAAGTGGGGCTGATTGAGACCAAAACGCAGTCACTCATGCGACGCACCTGGTGCAGGGTAGATGCCGGACGACTGCACCCGCTCCTTCCCCACCCACTTAAACGCCAAGACGCCAAGGGTGTGGAATGCAGCCCGGCTGTCCTCCTGCCTCATTCATTGTCTCACGCCAGCTGCCAGGTTATTCCAAACAGCGGAGGTTTATGGTGAGGGGGAGGTTTCTGCTGGGGGCAAGACCCCGGGTGACAGTGATTTGAAGAGTGTAGAAGTGAGTGAATGGTGCAGGAAGTCCTCACTCCAGGCCCCTGCAATCTTGTGAAGTTCCATGAAAGTTGGCCCATGATCAAGATAGGACACATCTGTGTAAGAATTCTGTCAATTCTTGACTACTGAATTCTACTGAAATTCGCAATAGAGAACAGCAGGTAGAAGCTTGAATTCACCAGCTGTCTTCAGTTGAATCGGGCGGTGTTGCAGGACAGCTGACAAACATCAAAATGGAGTCTAACCTGTAGATCAAGAGAGTGAGTGAACCAATGCAAAGTTGTTGCAATCGGTAGTAGTCTCAGTTTTGCCTTTTCATGAAGCGACTCGCAGGATATTTGGAATGATCTGCCTTGGGTCTGCAGATCCACATTTAGCTCATGTCGCTCTGGGAAAGAAAACAGTTCCACGGAGGGGGTGTTCGTAAGCTCATGGCAACACATGTTTTCCACATTGAAGCCAGAATATCTAAGTTTAGAATACACGTCCTGCTTTGTGTTGACTTGAGTGGTTTAGCTAGGCTAAGGTTTTTTTTGTTTTTTTTTTTTTCCTTTTTAAATTGCCGGGGAAGTATAGCTTCTAAATACAGTCAGCAAAGACCGAGAGGGTGCCCTTCTTGCTACAGAGAAACTTAAACTCAGATTTTTTCATGTTTTTATTTGGGAAAAATTCTGAGGACACAGCTATAAAACTATTCAACAACAAACTTATTTTTTTAAAAAAATCCCGAGTACTTGAACAGCCATTATTTTTTTGAAAATTTTTGTCATGAAATATGATTTTGTCCAGTGGCTCTGGGGTGGTCAGCCAACTCTTTCATCTTTTGCTCTAACATTATTTACAAAAAGTTAGGGCAGATTTACAGAGATGAACGGTAGTCTGCTGGGTTTTCATTTCACGGGGCTGCTGTCTTGCCCTGAAGCGTGTTCACAACTGCATACAAATCATCCCTCCTGTTACTCTGGGACCACTGAGGCTCTGGTCAATGTCAGGGGCTGGGGAGTGGCAGTGGAGAGTTCCTGGTGGGCCCTACGTGCCCCCTTTGGACTGGAGCGTAACTCCCATCTCCTTTTCCCGACGACTTTATCAGTCTAACAAGTGATTGACACTGGGCTCTCTAAACACGTGCACTGGTATTTATACTGTGTTTGCTTTGTGCCAAAGGCTTTATTTACTTACATTTTCTGTTGCAATCCTTCTGGTACCACCAAGGAAATGGGTACTATTACAATCATCTTTTCACAGATTGCAATACTGAGGCTTAGAAGAATTAAGAAACTAGTTTTGTGTCTTATAGAAGATAAGTAGCAGTGGTAGGACTTAAACCCAGGTCATTATAGCTGGGCTTCCTTTCACCAGGAAATAAGGAACACTCTGTTTATGAGAAGGAAGGCTGCTTGAGGGACTTGGAATAGACACAAATAGACAAACGGGCATGCATACATGCTCTGTGCCCCTACTTTGCTCAAACTCATCTTTTTGAAAACCTTTAGGATAGACTCAGGTAGGGCGAGACAGAGAAACGGGAATAGTAACTGTAGTAACTCCCCTAATGACAGCCATGGAAACATTGATGTGAAATTGGCAAGCCCATCACAGTGGTCTCTCACTCTATTGAAGCTGGTGTACCCCTGGCTGTCTGGTCTACATCTCTGATTTTTTTCCTCTCCCCCATCAGGATGGACGAAAATTATAACCTCTTGCCTCACGGTGTCAACTTCCAAGATGCCATCTTTCCAGACACTCAAGAAAACAGAAGAATGTTTTCCAGCCTCTTCCAGTTTTCAAACTGTTCTCAAGGGCAGCAGCTAGTGACTTTCTCCAGTGACTGGGAGATCCAGGAAGACAACAGGGTAAGAATTGTCTGGCCCCTGTGTCATAGCAAAACAATAGGATAGCTACATCTTGTATGAATTTTGTGACCAAAGGAGTCAAGAATACTCTTCCAAAAGCCCAGACCAAAGAGTATTATCCTCTCTTTCTCCCGCCTTCCTTCCCAGCTGTTATAAGACCCTGCTGATGAACTTTGGATTCCTGAAAATTTACTCTTTGATAAGGGATTCTTCACAAAATGTGGGAATAAGATGGGACGAAGCTTGGTACACTATGCCTCAGTTTCCACTTCGGGAAAATACTAGCATCTATATCACAGCGCTGGTGCAATATGATTTAAATATGTAATCTCTTAGCATAGTGCTTGGAACAGTAGTAAGCGTGCAAAACCTGTGGGCCACTGTGACTGTTCTGATTGCTGTCACTGACAGTGTAGAGCTCTAAGGAATTGTCTTCAAGGAAAGAAAAAGTCCCCAAGGGAATGAAATAAAATAGCTATCATGGCTAACCTTCTGCGATTCCTAACTATAGTTGTTGAGATGTAGGGGTACAGGGTGGCAAAGGTGGTTGTAGAATGTGTAGGGCTCAGGATCATTTGGGATACGAAGATATAAAAGGATCTTGCAGTCTGGGCCAAATGCCAGAGTTGTGGGGAAATTTTCCAAAGCCATGGCATTGCCATACAGAGGCAGGACGACAGTGGGGCCAGGTCAGTTTGCCTCTGAGTGGGATCGTGGTCCATCTTCCCAAGTCCCCTGTCAGGGCCATTTTCAGGGCTATGTGACAGACTGCTGGAGAGAGCTCTGATGTGGGTAACACATGAAGGATTTTCAGTCTGTGTGTGTTAATAAGCCAATTTGCATATATTAGGTGGCTCCCTTTTCCACCCATGTGCAAAGGACTTGAGGGAAGTGTCTTTCTCTTGTCTGGTGGGTTGGCCCAGGGTAGCTGCCTTGTTCTGCCAAATCTCCTCATCTTCTGCCCAGGGCTCCCTGGTCCCTGGAGGCCTTGTGCATACTCGTGCATGTGTAACCGGCAGGTATATCCAACTAAGGGAAATTATTTATTTTTCTTTGATTATTATGGAGCAGTTCCTTCCTTAGCTCTTCCCTACTGACAGCAATCTAGACTCTTCTATCCCCTCCCCCGTGGTTTGCCAGAATTTTCTGAACACCTGTCCTACATGTTGCTCCCAACATGGTTCCCCCCCACCCCCTATTTCTTAATCTTTGCTCTTGCCTACAGGAATATGCTGAACTGGACCCTCCAAGTCTCAGCCTGAGTATCTCAAGCCTGAGTCACACCTAGTATATTCCAAATGCAATCTTTTTAGGCTTGGCCCTTTGGCTCTGCATACTGAGGGAACTTTGTATAACTAGACCCTTGATAACAACAGATTTATGTCAAGAGAGTAGATATTATTCCAAAAATACTTGAGCAGCATAGCCCTCAAAATGTCGTTAAGCTACGTAACTTGTTAGCCCCATGGTCACATAACCAAGCTATTAACATTTTTCTGGAATTAGATTTTTCCATCCTTTGAAAAAAAATAGAACAATAGGACCATGGAGAATTGTTCCAGTGTGAAGGCAGATCTATTTCTGTTGGTCAGATGTTGATCTTGGGGAGAAATCCTTTTCCCTCTCCCTTTACTCACCCTGATGTCTTAGATAACACAGTGTGGGAGTGCTCCGTGCTCCAAGGAAGACTCAAAACTTGAGGGTAGGAAAATAATTGTTCCAGATTGTCGAGCTGCCATGTAGCCAAATATAGAAGTTCCATCTGAGGTACCCTGCGGTTTTCCAGACCTTTGCTCGTTCCATTTTTATTCCTTGCTTGGAAAGAGACCACATCAGAGCTAAATAAAATGAGCTCATTAGTTTATAATTTCATTTGAAACTAAAATTAAATTTGCTTTTAAGAATTTTGTGATGCTCCCTGAGTTATTTATTTTTACATTCTCTGGAGTGATTAAAACAGTTGTGGATTGATGATCTCAGAGTTAGATGAATTATTGACAGTTACTTGCTCCCTTCTTTAAGAAGAACCAGAATGTCTCTCTTTCTGTGGAAAAGTAAGCATCAGATTATGAATCCTACCCAGGACAATTATGTTATGTTAGAAAAAGTCAACATTTTTCCCCCAACTTAGGAGGGATCAGAATTGCTGTTCAGGTTACCTTTTTATTCCAGTAGGAATAGGTGTTAGACTTTTGTTAATCCTTCGAGCGTTCTGAGGGCAGCTATGAACAGCCCCAGACTTTCCCCAAAAACCTTTCTTGTGTAACGTACTGTGTCTTAGATTACAGATCGTGCAGCCATGTTAGCAAGCTCTTGTGTTTTCTACTGTTGATGCTGTTGCTGTCTGAGCTTGCATTCAGCTCTCACAGTGGCTGCAGGCTAGTTATGAAGGGTACGTTTCATTCTCTTGGCTGATAGTTCTCAACCTTCTCTCTCTTGGAGGATCATGTGAACCTGGGATTCTGGAATCCATTCGGAAGTGAAGAGAGAGAACAGGAGGAAAATCTTATGTAGGGAAACTTTTGTGATGCACACCTGGGGCGACGTTCAACTCAGTCCTCGGGAACAAAGTCCTCCCACGCTCTGGTTCCTTTCCAGGGTATCTCCGTCTTCAAATGTCCCACCCACACACTAGTAAATAGCAACACGATCTTGCTTTCAACAGTTGCCAAGAAGTCAGCAGTGTTACTAAGTGTTCAGCGCCTCTCTGGTTCGGTGTCATGGTGTTAATAGGACGTGGGGGGATAGCTTTGGCACGTTGGAGCATCCACCAGATTTACTGGCAAGATTCTCTGCACACCAGCCAAAGACATTTTTCCTTCCTCATTTCTCTCCTACTGGGCAAGTGGAACAGTCAAAACAGAAGTTGGATATTTTTCCCTCTGCCAGGACTGTCCCTTAGGACCAAGACCCGGACTGACCCATGCTGACATCAGGCTGTCATAAAAATGTCTTGGGACTGAAAAAAAAAAAAATCTGTGAAGGTCTTGCCATAGTTTTCTTCTTTCCTCTTTTGGAGTTGGGAAGAATGATGGGGGGAGTTGTCCTCTAAGCTGCCTTAGAAGGAATGTAAACCATTAGAAGATGTCAGTTGGTTCTGCCATTCCTGGAGGAATGACCTTGGGCAGGTCCTTTAATTTCTCCGAACTTCAGTTTTCTCATTTATAAAACGCGGCTTGGATAAACTGTTTAAGGTTGTTGTAAGGACCTAATTAGAGAACATATTTGAAAGCACTTTGTAAAGAGTGATGCAAGGGTTTATTACTGGCAATTGAGCATTTTAAAGTATTAAAAACTACGTATTTTTAAAACTTAAGCTCCCTGCTGCCTCCCAGGGGGAGTCCTGAAACATCCCGAGGCAGAGTGGTGGCATCATGGCGGGGTGTGTGTTGGAGATGGGAATGGAGGAGGAGGAAGCCATCGTGCACACTTTCATTTGACAGAATTGACTGGGTTATTTGCAGGGAGCACTTTTTTTTTTTAAAAGAAAGTTTATGGAATAATAACACAACATTTGTGGGTTCCCAAATCTGAAAATATAAAATGGCAGCCAGCAGTCTCTCTCCCACCTCTGACACCCCGCCACCCAGTTCCTGCCCACCCTCCAAACAAGTAGTTGCTGTTAATAGTTTCTTGTGTGAACATTCGATGAGTGTTTTTATCCAACAATAATCCAAGCATGTATTACTACCGTCCTGTTTGACACAAATGGCAACATACTACACACTTTGCCACACTTTGCTTTATGCACAAGTAGGTAGGTCTTGAAGATCTTTCCAAATCATTTCCATATATACAGCTTGAGGGCAGCTGGGTCGGGGGGAAAAAAGAGATGAAAACCAAGAGCTTCCTCCCTACACTGGAGCCCTTGCACTCAGCCTTCTGGATAGAAATAAGGGATTTCTCTTGCAGTTTCTGCTGTGTAGCTCCATGACTCAGCCCCCTTGGGTTAGGTTCCCCATTGTCTCTACTTGTTTAGTTTTCAGAGTTCAGGTAGTTACTTTTGTATTATACGCAGAGATTTTTAGTTATAATCAGTAGGAGTCCTAGGCTATGGTCAGCTTACTTCCCCTCGATTGGCATTGGAAGCTGACGTTTCTATCTGCCTGGACCCGTTAAGAAGATATGGTCAAGCTTGGGTAGAACATACAGAAGGGATGAAAACAAACCATATTTATTTTCTGATGATCGAAAGCAACAAGGAATGGGAGAGAGCATCTGTAGTTTCAAAAGTGAGATTTGAACCCCAAACAGATCAAGAAAATCAGAACTCGGTTCATCCAGATCTTCCATTAAGAGCCCTGGAACAATTTGATTTAAAGGTGTCCCTGCAGGTGTGCTGAGGCAGGTGGGTTTCACAGATCACTGGGACAAGAACAAAGATATTCACTCCGTAGGGAAGGAGGAGTATAGCTTCTGTTCAGCAAGTGTTTGAGCACCTGTTAAGCGCCCCCTTCTCTATATTTATTCTTCATTGATACTGCACCCAAACGCAAACGTGTTAGTTTCTTAAAAGTTAGTTGCAATGTAGAATCTGAAACCTTTATCAGTGAACTTTTTGTGTTCTTACATGAAGGTCCATCAGTCTATCTTGTACTTTGATTTCATCACATGACGCATTGACCATTTGGAAAATACTAGTTTACTGAGCTGCACAAATCTTGCAAAAGTGGTAAGATTTTATTCTATACAAAACCCTAGTCGTTAATATCACCACTGATCACGTGAGGAAAGTATTGGGAAGCTATCAAACTCACAGTGGCAACTTTCCTAAAATTCTAAATTTTGCTTGAGAGTTCAAATTCCATCACTGGCAACAAATACTGTCCCTCTTCTTTGAAGTGACAGGCTTACTTTTTTCACTTTCAAGAAAATGTTGCTCAAATACTGAAATCTGAATAAATAGTGTGTCACTTCATTCTTTCAAGTAAAAAGTGTTTGATGAAGAAAGCCATCAGTTCAGCTCAGGACTTGAGACAACTTTGGTAGGCAGCGGAGCG